ACTATTTAAAACCCAAACCACAACATAAAAACAAAACTGTTATATTATGTTTGCTTTTTGTTCCAATAGGATAAGACTGAATGCTGTGCAGGAAAATACTGACTCCATTGAATGCAGTACAATTTCATCTGAATTGGTTGATTTAATTAAGTTCAATCATGTTTATTGAGGGCTATTGTCTGACAGGCACTGTGCTAGGCTCTGAAGGCACACAGTTAGCAGTAAGAGGCAGGACCAGCCTTTGGCAAGTATGTAATTTGCTCGGGACACTGAAATGTACACACATGACCATTATGCAGGGAGATAGGGCCTGAGTACTAAAGGTATACAGATGGGAGAAAGAGCAGGCAAATCTGGTTTGGGGGGATCAGAGAAGATTTCCTTCACCAGGAAAGACAACATTTTCTAGCCCATGAAGGATCTTGTATTAAATTTATATCTCTCCTGTGAAACTGAGTTGCCCAAGGTACGTTTACCCGTGGACCAAATTGGGGTCACATTCACCTAATTTGTTTCCTTTTACTGGCTTGTGCCTCTAAGCACAAGCAGCCCAATCTACCTCTGCTGCAGTTTCACCCTGTACTTGAACACCTTCACCATTGAATTGACATGAGGACTTTATATATATATATAGAAACCCAGGGCATGAATCCAGGCACTGGTGGGGTCCGGCAGGCCTGGCACCAATTGGGGCAGATCGGGGCTGGGCCTGTTGGGAGGAGGAGATGGCAGAGGTTGGCCGACCAGCCCACCCTGATCACCAATTAGGGCCTGGCCGGCTGGAGGGAGGGGCCACAGGTGATTGGCTGGGGGGCCCTGCCCCCGATTGGGGTTGGGGAGCCGATTGGGGGTGGGGCCAGTAATGGGAGGGGCAGTGGGCAGTGAGCTGGCCGGCCCCACCCCCAAATGGGGTGGGAGGTGCTGATTGGGAGCAAGTGGCCTGGGGGAGGGGCCCTGGGTGGTTGGCTGGTGGCCCTGACCCTGATCGGGGTGGGGGGTCAATCTGGGGTGGGGATGATGGGGGGAGGGGCTGCAGGAGGTTGGCTGCCAGCCCCACCCCCTATTGGAGTGGGAGAGTCTGGTAGTGGGCAATACTTATTAAAGGATACTTTTGAGAACAGTAACTGGGAAGAATGGGAAAAGAGCAGGTTTGAGCAGAGGAATAAGTAAAGCTGCAATGATGGCCAGGAATCAGCCTCAGCTAACCACATAGAGAGCTCTTGGGTCAATGGGGGAGAAAAGGAGATATGTACCTGATCTGGCAGTTCCCTGGCCACAGGGGGTGTCATAGTGACTGGTTGTTACAGTCATTACAGTGTTATGTCTCTGGCTTTATATATATAATATATATATAATAAAGAGGTAATATATAATATTATATATTAGTATATATTAATATCTAATTTAATAAAACACAAACATGCAAATTGACTGTACCTTTGCTATGCCTTAAGCCACACCCACCAGCCAATCAGAGCGATTATATGCAAATTAACCCAATCAAGATGGTGGCCAGCAGCCACGGAGCTGAAGTGAGCAGGAGGCTTGGTTGCTCCAGTGATGGAGGAAGCCAAGCTTCCTGGCTGGCTCTGAAATCCACTGAAGACAACAAAGTTTCAATTATAGAAGATACATAAACCCCAGATACCTGCTTTCAGCCGGCCGTGGCCACGGAGGTGGAGCAAGCAGGAGCTGGCTCTTAGCTCCACTGAAGGCAACAAAGTTTCAATCATAGAAAGTAAATAAATCCCAGAATAAAAAAAGAAAAGAAAAAAAGGAGAGGCTGGGAGCTTCCATTGCCGGGGGGCTTGGCCAGCCTGAAAACAGCCCACAGCTCCTCACCCAGACTGGCCAGGCACCCCAGTGGGGACCACCTACCCTAAAGGGGGTGTGGCCAGCCTGAAAACAGCCATCAGCCCCTCACCCAGGCTGGAAAAACCTCCATGGGGTGAGGGTCCCCACTGGAGGGGTTTGACCAGCCTGAAAACAGCCATCAGCCCCTCACCCAGGCTGGCCAGGCACCCCTGGGGACTCCCACCCTGAAGGGCATGTGACCATCCTGCAAACACCCATCAGCCCCTCACCCAGGCTGGCCAGGCACCCCAGCAGGACCCCACCCTGATCCGGGACACCCTTCAGGGCAAACCAGCTGGCCCCCACCGGTGCACCAGGCCTCTATCCTATATAATAAAAAGGTAATATGCAAACTGACCCTAACAGCAGAAAGACTGGGAATGATTGGTCACTATGACACACACTGACCACCAGGGGGCAGACACTCAATGCAGGAGCTGCCCCCTGGTGGTCAGTGCGCTCCCACAGGAGGAGCTCTGCTCAGCCACAAGCCAGGCTGATGGTTGCCAGTACAGCGGTGGTGGTGGGAGCCTCTCCCACCTCCTCAGCAGCGCTAAGGGTGTCCGACTGCAGCTTATGCCTGTTCCCCGCTGGCAAGTGGCCATCCCCTGAAGGCTCCCGGGCTACCAGAGTGATGTCTGACTGCCAGCTTAGGCCCAATTCCCCAGGGAGTGGGCCTAAACCAGCAGGTGGTCATCCCCCAAGGGGTCCCAGACTGCGAGAGGGTATAGGCCAGGCTGAGGAACACCCCCATCCCCCGAGTGCACAAATTTTTGTGCACCAGGTCTCTAGTATATATAATAAAGAGGTAATATGCAAATTGACCATCATGCCCCCACACAAGATGGCTGCCCCCATGTGGGCACAAGATGGCAGCCCCCTGGTGGTCACAAGATGGCCACCACAAGATGGTCGGCAGGGGAGGGCAGTTGGGGGGGTCAGGCATGCAGGGGAGGGCAGTTAGGGGCAACCAGGCCAGCAGGGAAGGGTAGTTGGGGGCAACCGGGCTGGCAGGGGAGGCCAGTTTAGGGGACCAGGTCTGCAGCGGAGGGCAGTTAGGGGTGATCGGGCCTGCAAGGGGGCAGTTAGGCGTCGATCAGGCTGGCAGGGGAGTGGTTAGGGGGTGATCAGGCTGGCAGGCAGAAGTGGTTAGGGGCAATAGGCAGGCAGGTGAGCAGTTGGGAGCCAGCAGTCTCAGATTGTGAGAGGGATGTCTGATCCTAAAGAGGGATGTTGGACATCCCCTGAGGGGTCCCATGTTGGAGAGGGTGCAGGCTGAGCTGAGGGAAACCCCCCTCCCCAGTGCACAAATTTTGTGCTCTGGGCCTCTAGTATATATATAATTCATGGAAGAACTATTATTATTTTATACTTGTATTGCAAATCTCATCCAAAATAATTGACTAATGACTCATTTTGTGAGAGAAGCAAAGTAAAAGAGATAGTATGCAACCTTGCTCCCATCCCTCCTCCAGACAAACCCCATTTTAGATCCGTAAGTTGAGGAATGATGGAAGAAAGAGAAGAGAGGAAGATGAATTTCTCCTTTGGCTCTATGCCCTCCAAGTAACAAGGTATTTTGCATCTGTTTTTCTTGAGATTCCTCTAGTCTATTATGCAACTGCATATGTATACCTCTCCACTGAAGAAAAACAAGGGCAATGGCTGTTGCACTGACATCTCATAGATGGACATATGGGATATGCTGCCAAGATTTTGCTGTGCTTATTTCCAGGTATCTGTCTTCCTGAGAATTCCATCAGTAATTAGAGTATAACACCCAGCTAGGTAAATATGGGTTTTGAACACTCTCTATAATTCAAAAATAGACAATAAGAAAGTTGTCCTCTATCACCTGTACCTCTCTATACCTCCTTGTTACAGATTGCATAGTCTTGATGAGACTGGCTGACATAACTGATGTATAGTTTGCTGTTTAGAGTAAACTGAATGATGATACATTCATTCGGTTAACTGTTAATCTTGCCACTGAAAATGGTAGTTGTTTGAAAAATGAAAATGAGAAAAGTTCTGGCTTTACTCATTATGTTCTCTTGTTGGAAACAGATGTTACCATGCAGTTAAAAGTTCCTTTGCTTTTAATTAAACTTTATATTTTGAGATCTCGAGAGTCACACGCACTCTTGTAATGAAATAATACAGAGAGGTCCTGTGTGTTCTTCCCCCACTTTCCCCCATGGTAACATTTTGCAAACTGGAGTGGAGTATAATATCACAACTAGTATATTGATATTGACATTGATATGCTTATGAGATAATCTACTAATACTATTCATATTTTCCCAGTCTTACATCTAATTTGTGTGTGTGTGTGTGTGTGTGTGTGTGTGTGTGTGTGTGTGTGTGAGAGAGAGAGAGAGAGAGAGAGAGAGAGAGAGAGAGAGAGAGAGAGAGGTGTGTATTTATTTCTATGCAATTTTATCATGTTTATGTTCATATAGCTACCACAGTCAAGGTACAGAACTGCTCCATCCCTACAAGGGTTCCTCATATTGCCCTTTTATAACCAAAGCCACCTCCCTAACCTCCATCTTTAATCCCTCACAAATAGCAAAATGTTCTTTATTTCTATAATGTTGTCATATCAAGAAGGCTATATATATGGGCACATACAGGTAAGTAATTTTGAAATTCATCCAAGTTGGTATGTCTATCAATAATTTTTATTATATTATTGCTGAGTAGTAATCCATAGTATAGGTGTACCTCTATCTACTTAACAGTCAGCTGTTGAAAGACATCTGGGATGTTTCCAGTTTTTGTGAATTATTAATAAAGTTGCTGTTTCCAGTTTTTTTATATTACTAATAAAGCTGCTGTGAACATTCTTACACAGGTTTGTTTGTATGAATATAGGTTTTCATTTCCCTGAGATAGATGCCCAATTGTGAAATTTATGGGTTGTATGGCAATTGCATGCTCAGATTCATAAGAAATTGCCAAACTGTTTTCCAAAGTAACTGTACCATTTTATATTCCCACCAGCAATATATCAGTTTTCTACCCTTTTTACATCACATTAGTCTGTGTAAGTGACAAAATTAGTAAATAAATACATGACCCATGTAATACAAAACAGCTCGTAAAATGTCAATCCAAAAAAGTCCAAAGGGTAAAAAGGCAGGTGCTATATAAAAAAAAGCTCTCTCGAGCAAGGGCCTCTCTCTGCCTTGCCTCAGCTCCTAACAGGTAAGCTCTATGTTCCTGGAAAGTCCCAATATGCCCTAAAGCTTTGTTTGGTGTAAATTAAAATAAACAAATCTTTTTTTACTTTTCAAAACAGGATCATGGCCTATAAAATGCTTCAAGTGGTCCTATGTTCAACTTTGCTTATAGGTAAGAACCTATTTTTTTTCTACTTACATCTTTTACAATTACTAAGTTGATAGATAACCCCTTTTGACTTTTTAAAGACATGAATAAACAGGCTTTATCTATAGACCAATTCTGAAGCATTGAGGAAAACAAGCTATGTGCCATGCTGTGTTTTTGAACACGTTAGTGTTAAGTCTGTGTGTGTGTGTGTGTGTGTGTGTGTGTGTGTGTGTGTATGTGTGTGACCATTTTATTCCTAATCATTGTTAACATAGTAACATGCTACTGTTGCTAAGAAATTTATTGAATTGCTGCCACAAAAGAAGTGCTCTGGTGTCCTTGAGCAAAGAAGAATTTAAATGCCTTTTAGAAACTGTAATACTTACATCGTACTATTATGTGGCGACCTCAAGGTACTTTGAGAGTATGAATTTATTAACCTTTAGGGCAAGCAGTAGCTCAGAGAAGCGGTGTTTTAAAGACAGATCAAGGAAGGCACTGGAGGCCAGGTAATTTGCTGCCATATTGGCCTGGTAATTCAGGGGCTTATATCTGAATTGAACTGATAGATCATTTGTTTTTCTTGTAACCCAAACTGAAGATACTCACAAAGGTATAAATTATTCTCAGTTAAATCTCTGCAATTTATAAATACTCTGATGTAGATGCTTAAATCAGAATAAATTTCTACTTTTATAATATGCCTCTGAGAACCATGCAAAAATTATGTATTTTGCTTGAGGTATACACACACACACACACACACACACACACACACACACACACATATCTATATCTAAATCATTTTTTATATTTCATTTGTTTTTTTGCATTATAGTTTAATCTTATTTGTCAATTAAAGTTTACACTCAATGTTGTTTTGTTTTAGTTTCATGTGTACAGCATAATGGTTAGGCAATCACATACTTTACAAGTAATCTCCTGATACTTCAAGTACCTACCTGGCACCACACATAGGTATTACAATATTACTGTCTGTGTTTCCTCTGCTGTACTTACATCTCCATGACTATTTTATAACTAACAATTTGTACCTCTTTTCTTTTAAAGCAAAGTAGGATTTATTGAAGATATACTCCAAACGAGGAGCAGGCCAGTCCAGAGAGAGTGGCCTCGAACTCCTGGGTTATACGGTTTAAAAGAGGGATTTTTCTGGGTGGAGACTTTCATTTACATTCAGGGATGATTGACAGAAAAGGGTTACATAACTATATTTCTTCTGCATATGTCCTTACACACCATAATGCATACTGAAAAAAACCCCCAATTTATACTTCTTAATCCCTTCACTTTTTCACCCAGTCCCCCAACCTCTTTCCCCTGTGGCAACCATCGGTCTGTTCTTAGTACCTATGTGTTTGTTTCTATTGTATTTGTTTATGTTGCTCTTTAGATTTCACATATAAGTGAAATCATAGGGTATTTATTTTTCTCTGGTTTATTTCACTTAGCACAATTTCACTCTAGGTCCATTCATGCTGTTGCAAGTGGTAGATCTCATTCTTTTGTATGGCTAAATAATATTCCACTTTATATCTGTTCCACCATTTTTTTATCCACTTGTCTACTAATGGGCTCTTGGGTTGCTTCCATATCTTGGCTACGGTAAATAACACTGCAAGTAACAAAGGGGTGCATATAGTTTTTGAATCAGTTGGGTTTCTTCAGATATATACCCCAAAGTGAAATTGCTGGGTCATAAGGCAGTTCCATTTTTAACTTTCTGAGGAATCTTTACACTGTTTTTCACAGTCTGTATTCCCACCAACTGTGCACTATATCTAAACTATTAGTCTAGGTATATATGAGAATACATAATTAGCCTTTTATTCCTACGCTTGTGAATAATTTTTGTTAAGGTAAGAAACATTCAAACCTATAAATAATTTTTGTAAGTTTATTTGAGCCAAACTGTTGACAATTGCTGGGAAGCAGAATCTCAATGTATTGACATAATGCTCTGAAGAATGGTGGTTTTTCACCCATTTTCATAAATTACCATCAAAGGTGGGTTACATGAAATCCATTGGTGATAGATTAGGGAGGTGGGAGAAAGCAAAACAGGGAAATGTCTGGAACTGGATAAAAAGTAAAATGATAGACACATGCTTCTTTTACATAGATGGGTATAGGATAGTTAACAGTCAACAATTAACACAATAACAATGAAGGAATTTGTGGCCTGTGCCCTGGCACATTGGTTGTGTCCTGAGGGGTCCAGAAAAGGGGAAGTTACAAGTTACCCTGACATTCCAAAGGTATGTTTCATAGATGCAAAAAGACAACAGGCTCAGTTAAGATCAAAGTTTATCTTTGTCAGGGAAGATACCTGCCTAGGAAATGACTACCCACCATAACTGCTTTTAGTTAAAATTTTCATTTCAGACCATCCTTTGTGGTTACTTTAGGTCTTTGAGTTTGCAAGACCGCATGCAGGCCTTCCCTGAGCTAGTCAGGTTAGCATGTCGCCCCTTTTTGTCCACAATTTTAGTAAAGAGGTCTTTTTCTAATCCTCACCTGAGGATATGCTTTTATTGGTTTTAGCGAGAGAGGAAGAGAGAGAGGGAGAGAGAGAGAGAGAGAGAGAGAGAGAGAGAGAGAGAGAGAGAGAGAGAGAGAGAGAGAAAGAGAAGAGAAAGAGAGAGAAACGTCCATTGGTTGCCTCCCGTATATGCCCCATCTATGCATCCTGACCTACGTGCCCTGACCTGGGATTGAACACAGGCAGGGCTTCATAAAGAGTTTTAATCATCAATATTGCACTTTATATTTGGGACATGTTTAATTAAATTATTTAGAAATTTTTAACCACATTAATATAAAGCAATTATCATCACATCAAGTTAAGCCTATATCTCCAGATGAAAAAAAATGAGTTTGGCTCAGTTTAAGTGAGTGAGTGAGGAGCACATTGCAAACTGAAGCCATGGGCTGGTTATAATCCATCAGTATAAAGCTTTGCCTTGACTGCTGATCCATGCAATTGACTTTAGAGTTGGTGACAGTGGATGACTGCAAGGCTAAAAGCACTACATCTGGTCCACGTTCCCCTGTGAACACTGCAGGGTCAAAAATATCTGGCAAAGGGGAAATGGTTCTGCAAAAGTGATTTTTGTGCACTTAGAAGTTGGAATTAACTTTAACCCCAGCTGAGATACAAATATGTCTACCTATAAAGAAACTGCTTTGACTCACTTCACTTAATAGTGAATAAATAAATGAATGATTGAGTTTATGTCATTGAAGTTCATGCAAGTGCAAGCTGAGATCAGAAACTAAGAACAGAGGATTGTTGACACTGCTGGGTGCCCTTCAGATCTCAGGAAAGAAGATTTTATTGCTTTCGGACTGAAGAGACTGAAGTCTTTAGAACCCAGTTCATTTGTTAAGTTAGTAACTAATTTAACCAACATTTTCTAAGTCATACAGCTCTAAAGTAGGAAAATATTAGCTTGAATCAACTTTCGTTACTTCTTCTCCCTCCCTTTTACATATAAGAATGAGGGCACATTTGTAATACCTTAACCAATAAGGAAATAAAATAAAAAAAAAGAATGCAGCCTATTCATCTATTCCTCTCTGGAGTCCTTCTGCTTATCATAAAAAAACAACAATTTAAAAAATTGTTTGTTTCTGTTATTTAAAATGTTTTCTCTGGTACAAATTAGTTGTCTAACAAATTACTTTTATCTAGAACTTAATTTGAAGTAAATAGGGAAAAGATCTCATTATCTATTTTCCTAATGGGAATGCTGAAGCTAAAAATGAGTCTTACTCAAGTAATTACATATATGGGCAAAGTCCCCAAATTATTTTATTGATTTTCTCAAAATAGTACCTTATACATTGGAGATGATTCCCTAGTCAGAGAATTAGAAGTCAAGTGTCATCTTTGATTATAAAACAAAGCAACTCTCTCCTTAGCATTTAGGTCAAGAATTGCTTTCTCCTATAATAAACCAACAAAATTGCTACTACTATTTTAAGTCTTTATTATGTTTCAAGAGCTGTCCATATGTCACCTTAATTCAATTCAATTCTCCAAAACACTCTGCAAATAGGTGTTAAGATTCCCATTATACAAAAAGACAACTGAGACTTAGACAAGATCAATGACCAAACTACACGGTTAATCAGTAGTGGGTGCCAATTCACATACAAATTCTACATCCAGGTCTTTTGAGAACAAAACCCTTCTTTCTACAAACTGTCCCCTCCGGCACCACAGTGCTAGATATGGGCTACGCAGAAACAGGAGAGGCAGCAGGGCACACAGCAAGATCTCCTCCTGAAAAAGTAATAGGGTCAGTATTGTAGCCATTGGTTCGACAAGTAAAGGTCTGGAGTTAGGGAGCTGGGTGACTTTATCTGAGGAAATAGGGTCAGACCAGGATATAACTGTAGATTGTTCTATGACAGTTCCTAGTTGTACTGAAGGGAAAAAGAAGTCCTGAACTCAACATGTTCCACCTCAGTAGGGCACTTAATTAAAACAAATAGCCCCATATCTCAGAAAGAGGAAATAGAGAAAATACACATATTTGGAAAATGTTTCACTAAATAAGTAAACCAATTTTGGGGGTTGACTCATATATGAAACAATTGGGGGGGGGGATGGGGAGAGGAGGAGTTATGCTCTTATTATTGGCCTGTGATCAGGACTATCTATAAAGTACATGTCTTTTGGTTTTACACAGAGGAAAACTGACAGTGCCTTTAGCCTGTTTCTCTGGCATAGTTTAAACTCCTGTTTTTCAGTCCACAGTTAGTAACCAAGGCCAATTTATCATGAAGTTTGTTTGGCTTGGTTTGGTTTGGTTTATTTTGTCAAGATCTGTTAAGCTTACACTTTCTTCCCCATGACCCCATTAGCACCTCCAACCCCTCCCTTTTTCCCTCTCTTCATGAAAGGAATAACCCTTTTCCATCAGGTCTGCAGCCCTCCAATTTCTTGGAGAGTCTTTATTCCTTGGTACACTTTTGGTTTCTTTTATAAGATT